GACACGAATTTTTGTTTTCAAGTTCAGCTTAATCAAACTTTGTGCACACACAAAATGGCAAAGAACGGGCAGCATAGGCTACATTAAGGAAATCTCGTCTGATTCTTTTGAACTGCTGATTTTTTCCCGCTCTAGGCTGCTTGAAGATGGCGCACAATTGGTTCCGACATCCTGATAACAAATTATAGTCAGGAAGATGTTGAACAAATTATAGATTTCTGATACTTCACAATACTGTTGGTTTCAACATTTTATTTACAAATACGACAACAATTTGGAAGGATAACTATCAATTTCACTGACTTATCAGTTTCGTATATTTGCTATAGGCTGCTGAGAATCACTGTACAAAAATGAAGACTCTAGTGGTCGGGCTCTGTCTCTCAAAAAATTTCTGACTCAAAACTGGGAGAACTATCAGCGACGTCGGCCAAGCCGATATATAAATTAGTCGTAAGTAAGGAATAGGCCAATAAACCTTTTGTCTAAAGACTGGAAAGCTCGGAGCGACTCTGGAATGAGGAACTCATAGTAAGGAGGCCCACGTTAACTTGGTACATTTCTGCGTTTTTCACTATTAACTAACTCATTTGCAAAAAGGGTGAAATGTTGACACTGTAGTTTTCGTGTGCGCTTGAGCATATAATCCGCAATCGAATCGTAGTGAATCGCCTGAAGGTTCAAGCTGACCCATAAGCTCGATCATTCGGTGGAAATAGCAGGCTGCAAAAGGTAATTTAAACCAGGATAGAGGGGAGTAGAAGAAATCATTTGAATCTTTTTTCCACGCCATACACTGCTTTGTCTTATAAAAGTTCGAAGCATAGAGGTAGTAATGTTCCAGCATATTTTTTCTACAAAACCACGATAGTGGAAACTATACATCATGTCGTGGGCGCACACCACACCAGATATGAAAGTTTGGATAAACAACCATAGTTACTAGTAGCAAACCTATCACTGCCACTTCCCTGCCATAAAATGAGAAGAAGTCAGTTACGAAGGGGATCACACAGAACACCACGCAAACTTTCAGACGTTCAGTGTCTTTCTACCGTATCTACCGTACACCTCAGTACTGTAGTGTGGCATACCCTGAGATTTGTCTTGAAAAGCAGAGTTTAACTCGCTTTCCTTTTGGAAAATATCCATTTTGAAAGAAGTCATGAAAATGCGACGCTTGCGACGGTTTTTTATAAGACACGTTTGTTTTTGTTTGCAAAAGTTAAGATGCTCCAACCAATCTCGTTTTTAATAGCATATCTCAATTATCAAATAAAACTAGGTGTTTAGCACCAAATTGCATCTGCGTAGTTGATCTGTTTTCTAATTACTCTGCTAGTTTCAATTCAACTTAGAGTAAGGAAGATCAAAGTAAGTTAGAAGCTGTAGCTCTCGAGCGACCCCCAAATTATTTGTTGTTGCCACAAATCTTCAAATCTTTCTTACTGACTTCTACCGCGACATCAGCAATTTACTCCACAGTACTATAAGAACAAAACCATTCGTCTCACCGATTATCCGCAACCTTTCCAAAGTATTCTCTGTCTCGTACATATTGTTAGAATGAGATTAATAAGGTGATTCGTATAACTTAAGGGAACAATTTAATTTATTAACTGCTTTCGATATGAGTCTGAACTTTGCCAATGCAGTGTTGCCGATAAATCAATCAAAACAGCTAACTAATTAATGTTGTACATCAATTCAAAATCAATATTCATTTTAGTTTAAAATAACAATGAGTTACTATCCATTAACTGTAAGTTCGCATAAAGGAAAAGAGTAAATTCTTTTCTATTATTAATACCACCCACCATTATAAGCTCACTACAACTGATTTTTCTCGTTCTATTTGCTTTGATAGTAAAAACGCGCTCCACCGAGACACATCTGCTGCAGAGGCAACCTCTTTCTGCAAGCCTCTTCAAATTTCGACATCGTCATCTTCCTGTCGTCGCTTGTTATCGTGTCGCATGATAGATACATTTAGATTTGGAATCAGAAGTGCCTGTCTATGTCTCCGATAGCCTTTTCCAAAGAAAACAACACTCTCAATGAGCATTTGCTTATTGCAGTGGTTCCTCGCACCGCATCGAAAAAAAGCACGCTGGGTCTTCCGATCATCGGAACTGCGATGGGGGAGGAAGAGGGAGCAAGTGGCTCGAGGAGGGATGCACGAGCTCAAGAATCTTCGGAAAAAGGTAGCGCCTGTATTGATTTCGATTTCTATTCATTAATTTCTTCCATCTCCTCTGTTATCACCATTATTCATCTCTTATTAATGTAAGGTTTCCACGGTTTCAGATGGGATTGATGCTAGAGGCGATACTGAAAACGAGGAGGAAAAGGAGTTACAAACGCCGCCTTCATCTCCTACGAATGGACGGAACAACAGACCAAGGCATGTCTTATCTTTGTTATTGGTTTTCTTTTCCAACAATTTTTTTGTGCTGAATCCGTTCATTTTCCTTGACTCGACACCTTCCAACTATTCTATCACTGTACTTTCATCTCATGCTACAATTTTGATGGACTTCCTTAGCGGTCTGGTTTCGGTCAGGCCCTGTTTCGGCATTGTTTTTTTTTGAAGTACCTTTTGCGAAGGCCTTAAATTGTGCTGTTACCCATTGAGGGTTAAATGAAGCTGAAGTTAGATATGAAATGTCTGCGATAATACAGTACTGTGGCTGCTCTGTCACCTTTTTGTTTGAGTGTAGTGACTACCATCATATGCGCGCTTTTAGTTTCAGAATGTCAACAGAACAAAATAGCCCTTAAATGTGACCTTGCGTAGTTTAATGAACGGGTCAGCTGAATGCCTGTTCTCAGATCTGCAAACTTCACTTCAATCAGTGATTTTTTTTTTCGCAGTAATTAATATATTAGGAACAAAGTTCAAGATTAGAAACTGTTGAACCT